TAATTTAAATTGTGCGATTAACATATTTTTGTGGAAAATATATATCCTTACCATAGTCATTCATATAATGATTGTGTTCATATAAGACTGGACAAGAAAAAACAAGTAGCCTTTCTAGACGCTTTATGCCTTTGTTTCACACTTGGCGTAAAGAACTCTGGGTCTGACCACCTTTATTCGCTTCTTTTTATCAATTCACAATTTTACATGGCCTGTTTTCTCCTTTTTTTCTCTACTGCACACTCAAGTTCTTAGCGGGCAGAAGGATAGAGAAACGGAACAACGTGGATGAAATTTCGTTGAGATCTTGGTTTCTTTATAGTGACTCATTTACTTTTGTTGTGGTTTCTAGTTTAAGTCTTGATTTTTATAAATTTTATAATTTTTTAAAATCAAAATTAAAATAAAAAATTAATAATTTATTTAAAATAAGTTCAAATATTGACACTAGAAATATAAACTTATTTAATAATATTAAACTGTTTTTATTTTTATTTTTTAATAATCATAGCAATATATTGTAAAAACACATGAAATTAAATTGTATTTTTAATTAGAATTATAAAATTTATAAAAATCAATAAAGCAAAAAATTGCAATAATATTAAATAGATTCAGAATAACTTATTTGGTTTACAGGAATGAGAGAAGAACAATGCACTGCTAGAAATTTGACCTTTTAAAATCAATTATTTTCCAACTCAAATTGCACTGGAAAATAATGTATTATTTAAAATATTTTCCAGCGCTAAATTAAAGTTTAGTAGAAAATATTTAAAATTTAAAACTAATTCTCAAATAAGACTCATTTTCCAGTGCTGAGCACTAGAAAATAATTTAGCATCATAATTTGATTTGGTGTCTTCTTATTTTTCAGTGCAAAGCGTTGAAAAATAATGTTTTTTTTGCTATTGATAGAAAAAATTTTCAAAAACGAAAAAAAAAAATTTACCTTTTTTTCCAGTGCAAAACATTGGAAAATGTTTAGAACCGTCAAAGTTAAATGGTAGAAATGGGGTGTAGGTTATTTTTCAGTGTAGTGCTAAGCATTGGAAAATAATCCTACCCAAATTGTAGAGGTTATTTTCCAATGCTTGGTGTTGGAAAATACTCTTGTCCAATTAAGACAATTGATTTAGGTTATTTTCTAGTGTTTGGCATTGAAAAATACTCCGATCTAATTGAGTCAAGTTATTTTTCAGCGCCCAGCACTGGAAAATAAGTTTATTAGGAAATGTAAGAATCAAATATTTAAATATCTTTTTTTTCAAAATATAAAATCTTGCCTATATTTTTTTCCAACGCAAATAATTTTATTTAAAGTTTAAAATTCAATGTTCAAGCGTCATTTTTTTCTTATAAAATTTTGAAAATCCCACCCATATTATTTTCCAGCGTTGAGCTGTGGAAAATAACACTTATCTAAATAAACTTCCAACCTTTCCTATCTTAGCATTTTCTCCCATCTTCTTCTTTCTTCTCTTTCATTTTTCTCATCCCTTATCCGAATTCACTTTCATTTTTCTCCTCTCTTTCTTTACCCCACTCATATATTTCACTTTCTCATCTTAATCTTCCCTTTCCTCTTCTCTCTGTTTCCTTTTCCCTTTCCTTTCCATTTTATCTTCATTTCTTCGACTTTCCTTCTTGCTTTTCTCTTGTTCTCTCCATTCCTCTTCCTTTTCCTCTTCCTCTTCCTTTAATATTTTATTTGAAATAAGAGATACTATTCATTTCAATTTATTGACTGTATAATTTGAATTTTCTTTATATGTTTCTTTATCACTAAACTCTCGTATATATTACTAATTAATTTTTTTTTATAAATTTTAGGTGTTTTTATGAATTACATGAAATTGAGGAATATTTATGTATTTAATTTCATTTATTTTTGTCAATATTTATTATATTATATGTATTATGTAATGTTTTATATAATATTATGTTTATAAAGTAAATATATTAAATATAATTGTTTAT